GGCCCGCCTGCGCAGTGGGCGGGAACCGTGGCGCGCTTGCGCACTTCGGGGAAAGCGGTGCTGGAACCCGCGCGTTCTATTGCTTTGCTCCGCTGCGGTGCGTGCGAGGGACGTCGGGGGCGGCGCCACAATAGTTGCCCCTGGTAACAGGGGTGGCAGAGGGAGGAGGAGGAGGAGGAGGGTGTCGGCAGGAGGATGGTGAGTGTGGGGGGCCTGCGCCCCTCCTAAGCCCGTCGGTCAGGCTCTCCCCCTACCCCACGTCTCGGCCCCAGGCCCAGGGCGGGGCACTGCGCTTAAAGCAAAGTTGGGAATGGGATGGTGCTCAGCTTGCGGACTGAGGCTTGGATCGGTTTCGTGGGGCGGCGGGGAGCCCCGAGGGTGTGGGCCCTGGAGGCAGACCGGGCCTGGGGAGGAAGGCGGGACTTGCAGCGGTCTGCAGTTAGGGGAAGGGGCTGGAAGGGTGCGTGGATGTCCCCGTTCGGAGCCTGGGCTCCATCACGACTCTGGGGACTGGGAGGAGGGCGGAGCCGTGGAGCTGCGAGGAGCAGTCTCCGCACTCAGGCTTAGATCTTCCCAGAGAACTGGCTCCTCACGCCGCAAGCAAGTGGGGTCCGCCGGGGCCGGGCCAGAAGCGGGGAGCAGGGCCAGCGCGACTGCGGCTCAGATCGCCCTAGCGGAACCGTGGGAATTGGTAGCCTAGCGCTCCCTTTCCCCAGCGGTGCGGACGTCTGGGGGGAAGGGTGTAAATCCCGGGACACAAAAGAGGTCCCGCTTGGGAGATGTGCCTGGTGGATTTTACGCTGCCTCCGTGTGTGTGTGTGTGTGTGTGTGTGTGTGTGTGTGTGTGACGGGCATGCTTCTGCAGTCCTGAGTTATTTGCCGAGGGTTCTGCAAGGTCTCGTTATACGTGATGATCCATATTTAATCCATGCAGATGGAAGCCAATTTGCTGCCCAGTCCCTTGCATTTCCTTCAGAACCTGTTGCAACCTTTTTTTGCGTATGACCACACCAGAACCAAAGGGGCAATTTCAGCGTGGGGTCTCCAAACGAAAATGAATGGGAAATTAAAACTAGAGAGTGGGCATCAATTTGGGGCAATCCTTTTCTCCGTTAGACCTAATGAAATCTTGCCAAAACTGTAAATTATGATGTGACAGATTTGATTGACCGTTGACATTCTGCTCCTTGTTGATTTCTTTGAAGTTAACTGGAGGGTGTTAAAATGAAATTAAGCAGTTTTAAAAGCAAGCAAAGAAGAATTGAGTTTGAAGCATTTAGAACAGGTTGGTTGGCTTTCCACCTGTAAAGAGCCAGCACTCAAACTTAGAGTCAGTTCCCTACCCCAACCCCAATCTCTTTTTGACTTTTAGAAATGTTGAACTACATATATATATACATATATATATATTCATATAATGTCTTTATTGATTTTAGAGAGAAAGGGAGAGGGAGAGAGAGACGAAACCTGGGCATATCCCTGACCAGAATAGAGCCCGCGACCTCTCGATGCTCCACACTGGCCAGGGTGAACCATTTCTATTGATTTAGAAGTAAGAAATAAAGCTACTAGATGTCCACAAGGAAAAAATATGTACCTTTGGTCAGATTATCTAATGAGTAAATGTTGATAAGAGAAAAAAAAATCTCAATTGATTTTACATTGTCAGACTGTTAAAGAAGTAGAATTATTTGATCTAAAGTTGCCAATCACATTTCACGCTTGCTACATTGCAGTTTTATTAACCTCGGGCTAAACAGATTTTTACATTTTCTTTTTATTAATCATTTATACATGAGTTGTCCATTTAAAGCTAAGTTTTCCTCAACAAATGAATATAAGCATAAATATTTACAGAAAATAACTAGAATTGAAATGAAAAAGGCATGCCAACCTAATAGAGAATGAGATGTCATCATAAATGAGAAATGTATGAGAGTAGCCTAACTTTTTCCCAGTTTGTTTATCAATTAAATGAACCGTAATTTCATGATCGTTTAACTTATAATTACGGGCCACAATAAATTAACCACTGCTCATGTTTCCAGGTGCAAAGTGACACTGCATACAATAAATCGACAGTGTATACAACATTGTTATATACAACTGTTCTGTTCAGTGATCAAGACAGATTTGTTTTTCTTTTTTCTTAAAATGAGCAATAGGAAATTAGGACAAATTATTCTGGATTCTTTATCTGGTTTCCAAAATACATTTTTTCCCTATCTCCCAAAGTGCGAGTTATTCTTAGAACTGAAAGTGGAACATGGAATTTAAACAGTCAGTGGTGTGACTAAGTGTGTCACATCTTGTATCCCATGGGCCCCCATGGTAACTGTACAACTGAACAGTAAGTCCCAGGTTGTTGGGTTTACGGTTGTGTTTTTTTTAATATATCTTCAGCTATGACTAATACATACTTTTAATTTGGACAGTACTACAACAAAAACCCATCGGGCTTTCTCTGAACATTTAGGGTCAGCTATTTTACCCCAGTCTTATGATTCTACTGTTACAGAAAACCGGAGAAGAACCAAGCAACACTTAGAGAGAGGGAGTTACATTTATTATTATTATTACACGCGGGCCCAGAGAAAAATGTCTCTAGAATTCTAGGCAAAGTCACACAGGAAGTTTCCTGTATTTATACCATTTTACCCTCTTTGTTGCCCAAATATGGGGTTTTCCAATCCCCTTTGCAAGTTCTTTTTTTTTTTTTTTTAAATATATTTTATTGATTTTTACAGAGAGGAAGGG